GTACCTGCATGTCATAAGCATTTGAATTAAAATTACCATATTGAAATCAAATCTGATGTTTTTTAATTTTTATTTGGTGTGCGTTGGAACAGGGGTAGTCTTATACGGTGAGTATAGCCCAAACTCTATATTTTAACTGGAAAAGTTGGGGGTCGTCTTATACGCCCAGTCGTCTTATACGCCGGAATATACGGTATTCTATTCTGGATAGAGAAAAGATGTCTAGACTCCAAGTCAGGATGCAAGACAAAATGCTGGAAAATAAAACTTATCTATCCAAAATGTTTGGTTCAAGTGAGCATGCTGCAAATCCCCTCTTTTCTGAATGTGAAGGGTGGAGGCACCAAGGCAGGCCTTCTTTGAGAGAGCCACCTATCTTCTGACATCAGGCTGGCATGAACCCTTCCATGCCATGTTAGAAGAACATCACAACAGGATTCCCCCAAAGCCAAATGTAAAGGGGTGCCACTTCATTGAAAGCAGCGCCGAATAGACTTTGAAAGCGATTTATGTACAAACATCTAATTGCCAAAGTATATAAATCTTTATTAAAAATAAATCTGGAGGATAAATAAGTTAAAGAGTGTATGATTAAATGGATATAATATCACACACAATTAATGGGAAAATATGTGGATTAATGAATTTAAATTTTCATTGAATTACAATTTTAAAGGTTTTTTTTAATAAAAGGATGTGTCATTAATATTTAACTCCTGAAAAATTGTCAGGATGGATAGAAGAATATGAAATAAGTGTTGGAAATTGTAATAAATGTGACAATACCTTTTATTACTATTTGTGGACATGTGACTACCAAGAATTATTGGAATCAGATATGTTGTTTGATTCAGAAAATATTAAAAATGGATATAAAATTAAAACTAGAAGCTTTTCTTTTATTGTAAATTAGCACATTGGAAGTAAAGATGGGTTTTTGTTTCTATATATGACAACAATGGTGAAACTTTTATATTCACAATGATGGACAATGCATAAATTCCCATAACTGAAGAGTGGATTTTGAAATTAACAAAACTGACAGAGATGATGAAATTTTGATAAAAGATAAAAACAAATTTAGTTTTGTTTCTATTTGGAGATCACTTTTGGACTTCTTGCTTGAGAAAGATAAAAATGAAGTTTTAATTTTAGGATTTTACAATTAGATTTGTTATGATTACAGAAATATTATATATTTTTATTCTTACTAATAGATATCTTTAGTGTACTTTTATGCTTATGTTTAATCATAGAATAAGAGTTTTTTTGGTTATATAATCATAATATTATTTTGATTGTTTAATCTTTATATTTTATATGATTATTTTGTGCTTTTGTTTTAACTTAGAGTAAGAGGTTGCTTTACTATATATTTGTACCTGTACTGAAGAAAGTCAGAAGATTGTTGATTTTTTGGTCACTTTTTAACTTTTTTCATTTTTTATCCTCTCTCCTCCATTTTTGTTCTGTATTTTATATATTTTTTGAAATTCATATATTTTTCAAACAGGAGAGCAGGTAGAGGTGTACTTCCAATGTTATAAATATAAAATTCAGATAGGATTAGGAGAGTGTTATTTGAGTGTCATAAACAGAGACTCCAGAATTTACAGTTAAGCAAACAGTTCAGAATTAGCATTTAAAAAGTGACGTGTAAAAATTAATTGCATTTCCCATTTTTTACTCCCCCAAAACAACTGATGCATCATCTTGTGGCAACGTGTAAAACAGAAAATGTTAGTTCTTTCCTCAAAGGTGACTGGGAGGAGGTACTTCATGCAGAAAGCTCATGTAAAACTAGAACAGAGGCAATGCTAAACTCTGACATCATCTTGCACACAGGGGTCAGCAGAAACAACCATTTGCTGTTTGAGCAAATCTGCTTTTCATTTACAGTTTGGGTTAGTGAGTGAGGAGGCCTTGACTGTAATATTAGAGACAATCCCGTTTTGAGTTTCTTCCACCAAAAGGCAGTTCAGTTCTTCACTGCGCCTACCCAGTTGGAAGGATTTGTCTTAAAAAAAAAAAACCCTACTGTTCAGAATCCCAGCTTCCTCTCCTTCACTGTGGAGAAAAGCACCAGGGGGAACCAGGGACGTTTAGCAAAACGAGAAGATGAGTTTAATGTGCAGATAATTCCTTCAATAAGGTCCTGGAATTCTTAATTCTACATTTACTCAGGGGTAAGTACTTTTTTTTTTTTTATTGTAGAAAGGATTTTTATCTGAGAATCTCTGTCAGTTCTATGGTTATTATCTAGATGGAGCACACTGAAGTAATAGGAGCAACCCGGAGAGAGTGCCTGGGGGGAGGGAGGCAAACAGTTCAATCTGTTGAGTTGACAGAAGGCAGTCAACTTCAACCCAGTCTCAATGGGTACTAAAGATTGGCTGGTAGTTAATTGTTGTGGGGGGGAGGTGCTCATTGAAGACTTTATGGTGTGAGGAGAGAGGAAGGGGACAGAGAAAATCCTTACATCTGCATCGAAATGTACCTCTTTTCTCCTGTTTATGAATGTATTGATTTGGGTCTTCTCTCTTATAACTTTATTCTCTGTTTTAAGGGGTCAATTCTGTTTGTGGTGAAGTTACAACTAGGATTTCTATTACTGTCCTTTCAAGAGAAAGCCATAATATTTCTTCATTTTTCTATCTGCCGTGCTTTGAAAAGTTCTGTTTGAATGATGGGGAGTGGGCAGAAAGCAGGGGTGTAAGCTGATGAGAAATGGTAGGATTGACTCCAGAGATACAGCAAATAAATCTAGAGATAGCTGAGTTAAATTAATCTTTTGTATTCTCCTTGTATTTTTTCTAAATGACTGGGACTAAAAGGAGTGAAGGGAGATGATTCTCAGAAGGGACAATACCAGATTCAGTACTGAAAAGATCCTGTAAACAAGTTTGTAGCTTGACACCTCAGAAAATGGCACACTCCATTTTTTTCAGGAAAGCTATTAAATCTTGAAACAAAGCTGCACTCTCCCCCAATTTTTTGTTGGGGGAGAAAATACAGGAGGTATGCAGATGGAATAAACATAGTAAAAACTAAGGTGAAACGATGTCTTGCCTTTCTGGGAAAGATTGCTCAGTTTCAATCAGGGAGTGTGGGGAAATGCAAAGTTAAACATGTATCCAGGTATTAGTTTGGTCTCTGTAGACTGTTTTCTGAGTATTGGGCAGCCACCTGGGCAGATGAACACCATACCCAATTATCTTTCTGCACACCTTTTTTTACTCTGCTGACCCACCCCCATATGCTTCCGGTTGAACCACAAATAAATGTTTATTTCAAAGGGTAGATACTTATAAACAAAGCAAGTGTCCATCTTAAACAATCACAGTCTCACAATGGGCTGCTGAGAAAAGGTTTCCTATGCAAGTCTTTCATGTCATACAGCAATGTACCTCTTTTGTTGCAAAATGAATTGAAGAGACCAGGCAGCTCTGCAGGGGTTAATAAATGAAGACCTCCAAGATGAGCAGGAGGAAGAAACTGATACAGTCTGCAAGATCAACAGTATGGATTCTTGTTTCTCTTGTGAAGTAATTCAAGTTGAAAAGTTAAATTAAGCAAATTGGTATCTCTGGAAATAGTTGCAATTATACTGAAAGTATTCTGAAATGTGGCTTTCAAAGGCGCTATTCTAGATCAATTTCTGCATTATCGTTCTTGTTAAGAATGCTTAATGTTTCAAGTAAAGCAGCAGACAGTTTTACATTTTATTATTTATAAAGGATTTAAAACATTCTAAATTGGATCCATTGAAACTTTAATTTGTTGATGTAATTTAATTGCTTTTATGTCCCTACATGACATTGTTAAATTGTTTTTATGTCCCTACTTGGCTTTGTGCTCTATTCTACTTTGTAAACAAGTCACCATTTGTGGTATAGAATTGTAGTGATGTTGGGGGTAGAACGTTGGTGAATGTGCTTCTTTTCTGTTAAACTTTATAGGTGATGTATAATGACACAACAATGGCCCATTTAGGAAGTAAGAAACAACAAAAGATGTTTTGCTTATAGGACCTAATGCCCCATCTACTTCTTTGCTCCTGCTATGATTCATAATTCAGCATACTTCAAAGTCAGTGTTTTCATGATCTTGCACCAAGGATGGGGAACTGCTCTTGAGGACCTAATGCTTGCTTACAGATAGGCCCTCTGGCTTATAAGACCTAGAACAAAATCCTCTGGCTTTCTCCCAAATTGTTCTCGCTGCTTCCTGTTTTCTGCTGCTCTGGTGTTAAACTTCTATGGAGGATTTTTACTGCTATTTAAAAGGAACCTGGCTGGCAGGATTAGTTATGATTTATCTATCACAAAGTATGGTCAAGAGTAGGAGAAACCACTTCTGTAGATGTTCTAGCAACTACTGCCAGAATTAAGAGAACATAATAGAGTTGGAAGGGATCTTGGAGGTCTTCTAGTCTAACCCTCTGCTCAAGAAAGAGACCCTAGACCAGTGATGGCGAACCTATGGCACGGGTGCCAGAGGCGGCGCTCGGAGCCCTCTCTGTGGGCACGCATGCCATTGCCCCAGCCTTGCCTTCCCCTGTGACCCCCTCCTCACCAGCAGCCCCCCTGGAGGAGAGTAACCCCCGAGTGTGGCCCACGTGGAGCAGCACAGCCAAGGACGTGGCAGCCAGGCAGTGAAGACAAGACTCTGCCCTCATGCCCCATCATGCACAGTTGATGCTGTGGAGTGCAGGCAGAGGGCGTGGCCACCATGGCGCTGCTGGGCTGCCTGGGCAATCTGCGGCAGGCCCTGGAGGCGGTGAGTGGCCCTGCGGGCAGGTAGGGTGGGGGCGGAGCGGGGGCAGGGCAGGGGATGGAGCAGGGGCGGGGCCAATTTTTGGGCACTTGGTCTCTAAAAGGTTCGCCATCAATGCCCTAGACTATTCCAGACAAGTGGTTGTTCAATCTCTTCTTAGAACCCTCCAGTGATGGAGCACTTTCAATTTAAAAATTTTAAAATTTCAAATTTTTAAAGAGAGAATGTTGGAGTGTAGGGGAAATAGTGTTTTTATGACAGTGAACAGAGACAGAAACAGAGGAAAGATGAAGTTTTCCAAGAGGAGAGATGGACAGACACTATCTTGCCTTCTACTGTGAAGACAACACTATTCTCTCTAAAGCCAGGCTCCTGATATCACTCTGTTCAGAAAGGGCAGTGGGAAGGAGAACCCTTGAACTAGACCAGGGGTAGGCAACCTTGGCTCTTTTATGACTCGTGGACTTCAACTCCCAGAATTCCTGAGCCAGCCATGGCTGGCTCAGGAATTCTGGGAGTTGAAGTCCACGAGTCATAAAAGAGCCAAGGTTGCCTACCCCTGAACTAGACTCTGTGCCTCCCTATTGGTTGGGGTGTCAATTACAATTGTTTGTTTATTTCTTTTCCATTTCTATTGTCATTTGTCTAAATCCAGTTGACTCTGGGTGGAAACAATACCTCAATTAAAACCATAAAAACACAAATTATACATATAGGCAACAGAGAATTATCATGATTTCATAAAAATTAACAGTTCAAGTAGGTAATGTGATCCCTAACACTTTCAGGGTCCAAGGCTCATACATATAGCTAGGTCTTTAGAGCAAGGGTGTCCAAATTTGGCAACTTTAAGACTTGTTGGCTTCAACTCCCAGAATTCCTCAGCTAGCCATGCTGGTTGGGAAATTCTAGGAGTTGAAATCCACAAGTTTTAAAGTTGTCAAGTTTGGAGAGCCTTGCTTTAGAGCATTATGAAAGGCTAATGGAGTTGGGGTCATCCTCAGAGGAAAAATGTTCCAGAGGGAAGGGTTTACTGCTGAGGAGACAGCCTAATCCCCACCAGCTGATATTCCTTGATTGACAGGGCCCTCAGCACCCCCAATCTACTCAACTGAATTGAAAGAAGATGGTTCCTTAGGTAACCCAGTCCCAAGTTCCATCTTTGTGAGTAACATAACTGTATTACTAATCTGAATATCAGGGGAGAGGCTGTTGGAAAGGAGAGGAGCCATCGCTAAGGATGCCCCACAACAGTCCCTGTAGTTGCCATTCCTTTGATTATGGGATCCTCAACAACATTTTTCTTTCTGAGTTCACTGGAGAGGCAGATTCAACCTGGAGATGGTAACTTCAATTATAATCAGGCTCTGAGCTTTAAAGATAGCAAGCACCATCTTGAATTGCATCTAGAAGCAAACTGTCAGTCAATATGTTACATGGGCAACCAATATCACTGCTAATGTGACCATGGCTGCAACTGACATACTAGTTAAAATTGTGCAAAGGCCTTCCTAGTCTCCACATGCTGTTCAAAAAGAATCTGTGAGTCCAGGAGGACCTCTGACTGTAAGCCAGCTGTATCTGGAGAGATACCAAATGTTATTTTCATTTGAGAACATTGAAAGCTGTTTCTTGAGATTAAAATTAGATCCAGGTGGATGCAGGAATTCTGATTCTCTCATGCCAATGGATAACAGTTTCCTTTGCGTAACTAAGACTAATTTTATTGAGGTCTAGTTGGACAATGAAAGAGGTAAAGCATCAAATCCATGTATAATTTTAGTGAATCAACTGTGTGTTAGAGAAAGAATAATAAAGTACAAACTTAAAAGTGAAGAAGAATCTGTGAATAGTTTGGAAAGCTTTTACTTGGGGAGATGTCTGCTATGACTAATTTTGAGAAGCCAGGCCAAATGCCTTGAGGTCTTCTCTTGTACTCTCTTCCTGATCAGTTGCCTGGGTGAGAAAAGTCTTCCTGGCCAAAAATCACTTCCTGGCTATACGTCCAATTGCTCTTGACTAAAATTGGAATGACTCAAATCATTCCAGTGGTTTCAGTGGGATTTTTCAGTTAGGACAGAGTTTCTGCCAATCTATGTGCGGTTCTTTTCCTCTTGGTGATTCATAGACTCCTTACAAACTTTCTAGGCCTGAGAAAGAAGAAGTGGTAGTCCTACAATTTCCTTGGACTTAACTCCCAGGAATGGTTCCCATCAAGTCATCCTCGTTCTCAGTTGGATCTCAACTCCCCAATCCTTCATAGCTGTCCCAAAGGAAAGAAATTCCTCCCAAAATCTGTGCCTGAACCTCCTCCTATCCTTGATCAGATCCTGTCTGTATGGTCTTTATCCCGTGTCTGGAAAGTAATAAGAATCCTCTGCTTTGTTTGAGGGATGTCTTTTTTCTATTT